GTTTTTACACAGGACATTTGGGAACGCTTTTAAGGGAAACGTTTGGTGGAGCAGTATGGTTTGGTGCTTACGAATATACATCAGGCTACTTTTTGGTACAGAAAAAACAAGCGAACGAAAATCTGACTCTCACAAAGGATAGCCTTAGTACCGGGGAACTTATGTTTGCTGGAGCGATGGGAGGAATGTCATATAATTTATTAACATTTCCGGTAGATTCCATCAAAAGTCGCATGCAGACAGAAGAAGAATCGATGAAAGCAGCTGGAAAGGCTTTCGATAAGCAAGGGTCAGTTCAAATTGCGCGACAAATGTACAAGGCTGACGGTATTAAAGCGTTCTATAAAGGTTGTGGGATGACTGTCGCTAGGAGTGCACCATCAAGCGCGTTAATATTTTTGACATATGTAAGTGCATCTCTGGTGTTTGATTCACGCAATAGCCTCCGACAATTTGTAAAATGACCAATTGATCTTCTGTTTTAGGAACTTTTATCGCGCCATTTGACATCGATTAACTTTAAATAAATTATGTCACAATAGAATCCTAATTTATAATCGCTTCTAACGACTCTATAAACTTCACTACTTCAGCCCTCACAGGCTTCTACTGCTGCTCATGATTTTGTTGTATCCACTCGTCATGCCTTTTGATAAGCTCGGGCACAAATTTGCTTTCGATCTCTATATTCCGTATCTCGTCACCGCTCAGTTTAAAAGTATCCTCACCATTTTTAGTAATGAGTACGACTTCGGTTTTCCGCGTTTGGAGAAGGTTACCAATAACAATTTGATGGCCATAGCGCACGAGAGCTTGACGGGACTTTGATACGAGAATCGCCGGATCGGTTTCCAGCTGTGTTGAGGAAGTTGTCAAAAAAAAAAAAAAGATACATACTGTGAGTGGCATAGGAATAGAAGCTAGCATGTGAAACGACAATAAAATAATGACCTTGAAGGAAACTATAAACCCTCGTGGTACCCAATTTGTGACCATCGGTTTTAGAAACTTTGGCACTTGATCCATGGTCAGCGTTAATCCACCACCAGCAGATTGTATCTTATGCTCGACCTTGATTAAGGACAGTTTTTATATAATTTAACAACACAGAAATCTTCATCGAACGGGTTGCATGTTAGTTACCATTCTCGTCATTGGAATAAAGAAATCACTGACGGCCGCTGCCAGATAGTACATAGCCGTTTCTTTCAAGGTTTCCATAATCATGCAGACACTTCTCAGGAGAAAGAGATAGTCAGTGACAGTGACGAAATCAAGTATAAGCAAAGTGCCTTCTTTCTTGACCTACAATGCAGAAAGTTAAGCAAAATTATTAACACATATGTCTGCCTCAGTTGTTACATTCGTACATTACTGGCATGCAGCAATACTAAGTGTTAGTCATAATTGCACTCACTTTTTGATATTTCTCAAGAATGCTTTTCATCTTAGGAACGTATTGGGGATACACTATGTAAGATTTAAACTTTCAAGTGATCTGTTCAATCCCTAAGTGTCAATAAGCAAATACGCATACTCACCGCTTATAGAACCATCGTCATTTACTCCCAAAAAACCCAAAAAGTCACTGATGCTGTGGTAATGACGACCAAAAGGTTGAAGACTAAATTGTCTGTGCATGAATACTACTGCATAGCCTTCTTCTAGAAAATATGTGTACTTTCTTAGTTAAAGAATTCTCGATTACATTAATGATGAAAAAAGATGATCAATCTTCCTATAGAATTGCGTAAGGATATTCAGCGGAAGTGGCCCCGCGAGTGCCAGCACTAAAGTTATCGATGAAGCGAACTGTCTGATTCTCTAGCGGTACTGTAGTACCTCCGCTCTGAGTTTTATAACATACGTTGGTGAAAATGTTTGTATACAATCCGCTACGAAGAATAAAAACGGGTAAAGTTCATTCAATACCAAGACACTCTTACGGTAATTAGTACAATTCTTCGTCCAGTTTTCCTATGGGTTGACACGAATTCTCGAACTCTGCGCTCATTTTCCCCGAGAGATTTTGGTGGGCTATGGTTTTCAAAGTATGTGTCTGGATTTATAACTTCTCCATTCCCGTAATCTAAAAGGCCTTTGTTCGACATTTTTCATCAAGAAATTTTTATTTTGTTCTCGCTGTATTATCCGTTAAAACGGGGACGATGCAGGAAATCTATCCAGTCATTATGCGCGGGAAACGGACAAGAATTATTAGGAAATTTCTCCGATAGTGAATGATGCACACTTTAGTCTTAGTGTTTAAGACCAAGATCTTGTATCACCGCAACTTTAACAGCATGAGACTTTATCCATTCTCTGTGTGCGCAAGGAATTTCTCAAGAAGTCAAAAAACTTTCCTGTCTTCCATTTATCTAAGAAGCATCTCGTCAAAAATGACAACAATGAAAGCCATTCAAATACAGAATGTTGGAGGAGTTGAGGTGCTCCAATATACTGACGTTCCCCGTCCGACTGTATCGCCAAATACAGTACTAATCAAGAATCATGCAATTGGGGTTAATTTCATAGATATATACCAAAGGTAAGTTTATTATATGCGGTAAAACCGGCGGAAGAATTTTCGATTAACACGAAATACCGCATTAATGTTTGTTCACAAGGAGTGGCGTATATAAAGTGTCATTGCCCGCCATTTTGGGTAGAGAAGGTGCGGGAGTTGTCGAGCAAGTAGGTGAAGGTGTAGAAAACATTGCAGCTGGAGATCGAGTCGCTTATTTAGGTCCTTCAAGCTATGCGGAATATACCGTGACGAGTGCGAACCATGTATATAAATTACCTGAAAATGTGGATTTCAAACTAGGAGCTGCGTCATTACTTCAAGTGAGTACAGCTGTGTAAAACATCAACACGTTATTATATTATACTAATACAATAATCGCACAGGGATTGACGGCTTGGACTTTAGTAACACAAGCCTATCCTATTAAGAAAGGGGACTGGGTTCTTGTTCACGCAGCTGCTGGAGGGACTGGATTGCTATTGACTCAAATTGCAAAGTATTTGGGTGCCAATGTTATAGGGACGGTGTCCACGCAGGAAAAGGCTGAGAAAGCTTTGAGAGCAGGAGCCGATCATGTGATAAATTATACTACTTCTGACGTGCTTTCGGAGGTAAAAGCCTTAACATCAAATGAAGGAGTCAACGTGGTCTATGATGGTGTCGGGAAAGATACCTTTGATACATCGCTCGCTTCACTTAGACGGCTTGGGTGGATGGTTTCTTTTGGAAATGCGTCTGGAGTCACCCCCCCATTTAGTCTGCTGCGTCTATCTGAAAAGAACGTGACTTTGGCAAGACCTGCGTTATTCAATTATATTGTTACAAGGGAAGAGTTTAGCAAATATTGTGAAGAATTCTTTGCATTGCTTGTAGCACAGAAAGTAGATATTAGAATCCATAAAACGTACAAATTGAATGAGGTAAAGCAAGCGCATTCGGATCTGGAGGGGCGCAAAACATCTGGAAAATTAGTTTTGGAACCATAAGAATTTTCTCTCGTAAAGTAATACGCCTGTAAAAAAGGGGGGAGGTTGATTATATAAATAGATTCTCGGGTATATTTGTGTATTTTAAACCACGTTGATATCATGTATAATTACCCATTAGTTTAATTCTGCGACTTGCTTGTCGCCTTGGATAAATTGAAGACAACAGCATTCGCCTTTCCATGACGTGATTTTTTGCTAGAGAAAATACTAGTGTGCCTTCTTAAACATAAGCCTTACTCCTATTAAGCGACAAACCCATGTTTCCTATTTTAGAAATGCTCTTGGGAGAGCCATGTTGTAGGACAATTCTCAGAGTTGGCAAGAGATTAAACTTATAATTACATAAAATAATAACACTAGAGACAACTCTTGTAATGATATAAATAGGGTCCAAAATTGGGGAAAGTTTCATATACACAAACTATAGAGAATGCTGTAAATTGTCTGCTAAGTTGTCATACTACACCAATATGATATACCTATCCATGATGAATATTTTTACTTACATATATTACGATGCGTAAAAAGAAAGGCAAAAAGTAATAAATTTTTATTAACGCGTAATCAATTAATCTTTTACAAATGAAAGTGATATCAATTATTTTATTGCAGCATACCTTATAAATTGAATCCTTCAATTATTTATATTAAAAACTTGTCTTATATTAATGTTGATTCTTGTTTGGCTCATGTAGTCAGCAAACACATCCCAACTAGGATCAGCTCCATCTTTTTCAAGATAAAAAGGTAGGGTGCCTTCAAGTATACGCGGTACGCCTATCAATAAAATACGTACAAATTAATCACTGTCAAATTAAAGCAATATCATTATGATTATTTCAAACGAGAAACAACAAACCATGAAACGATGACCGACAGGGACCACACATTATGGAAATATCACCACTACGTAAATACATGGCTTTTGGAGGAGTATCCTTTGTTGAGCCACCGATGAGAAATATACATGCATGACCAAAACTAGAAAAAAATAATGACTGATCGCTTAGACCCGAGGCAACAATACATAAATCAAATTGTCACTGTCTCCCACCTGGAAAACTAAACACACCTGAAAGACACCAACGGTGCATCCATATTGACTTCACTTTTATCTACGTGCGCCATAAGATTATCTTTCAATTGGTAATAGTTCACCAAGCCTGCCTCAGCTTTCCAGTCACTTGCTTTGTATTCATTCACGAATCCTCCATCCGGTATCCCAACTCCTTCAATCGCCTTCACCACTGCATTGGACAATCCGGCAATAATAGAGGGGACCGGAAATCGACGGTCAAAATGATAAATTTTCGTGGGCCAGTCATACTGATAACCGACAGTCATCCAACGTAACTTGCGAACTAGCTTGTCTGGTGGGAGAATGGGTGACGGCAGAGGAGAGGGCTTGCGAGTCGATTGAGGTGAAGCGGATGCAGTGGTCGAGATATCAGAAATTGGCAAGGAGCTTTCGCTATCGGAGGACACGTCATTATTACTCGAGGCTGGATATTGGGACGACAAGGTATCTAAAGCATCAGCATGTGCTTTAAGAGGAACGCGACATTCTTCGTCATCAGGGTCTAGTTCCTTTTTGAATATGCGTTCGTGGAGTGACCATAGTCCATCTTTCGGTAATATATAATGCACATCGAGGTTACCAATGTTAGGGTATTTGGCAACGTCACGTAGACAACACTCAATGATTCGCTTTTGGGTACTTGGTGGAAAGGCATTTCGGATAAAGATAAATCCTGATCAGATATTTTTGTTTCCGGCGAATTTTTTTCGCGAGAACATCCTAAAATTATTGTCTTGATATGATTTGATAATCTACATCGGGAAGAAAGTAATATCAATGATACCTGGAATGCTCTTTATTAAATAAGCTTTCTGACTTTTCTCAAAAAATAAGTTGTTTTCATTTCCAAGATCACAACTTAATTCTACTTCGACAATCTCTCTTCTAATCTCTTCATTACAATTTTCTGTATTATAAAAATCAATAACATTGGTGAAATCAGGCGGAGGGCATCTCGATTTGAAATTTCGTTCTGCATCGCGAAATGCTGTCTTGGTGGCAAATGAGGATTTGTCAAGGCGGGATTGTAGCTGTTTTCGTGCAAGCTTTTCTTGCCTCTTGGATTTGTATTGTTTTGTAGGATTCATGGATTAGTATTAAAAGGAAAAAAAGGAGTGTGAAACAGACTTTTAATTATTATTGATGTCACGTGGATATAATAATAAGGTGGGGAAGGGGAAAAAAAACAGTTGACAAGACAAAATGACTTCAGATGTACAGATCAAATTACGAGCGTTTGTTGAAATGCTTCTTGACTATTTGAAGCAAATGAATACGCAGCCAACATTGAAAGCTGCAGACGTAGACTATAAAAATGTGAAAGAAGAACTCTCCAAGTTGGGTACTATATTAATGGACAACGCAACGAGGGTAACCCTCTTCATCGTTAGCATCCGCTAGACTGCCTTAACAAGCATGCTCAATACATTATCTTTACATCACCTATATAGTTTACTATATCATGTAAACCACCCTGTTCAACGGATGCAGCTTTATTAACAATCGATAACATGGCGAACACATTGTTTCGAATAACTGGCACTGTTGAATCGCTTCCTCTATCCTTGGGTAAGACTCTGATATCCGAAGTACGATCTTGTACTGCAGAGATCTTATTATCATCGGCAGCATTGGCAAATGGCTTCTTGGAAACACCCGTTCAATTGGAAGCCACTCGTCAAGGAGGATACTTGGTTTCTACTGGCCTTGTCTGGCAAGCATGCGAAGTGTTTAAGAAGCTGCCTGGAGATAATAAAGAAGCAGTTATGAAAAAGTGGAAATATACATATGAACTTGTGGATGATGCTTTCAAGGAGCTTAATGAACTACTAACGCAAGCGGAAGAAGAGGAAGAGGAAGAAGAGAAAGAAGAAAGAACTGGCGAGACCGATGAGGATGATGAGTGGAATGCGGTAGCTGATTCGAAGATGACAGAGTCGGAGAAGAAAGTGACGGGATCATGTATAACATTGGTTAAACTGACAAAAATGTTGTTGAAGAAAACTCTTCAGAGGTGTATACAGTCTATAGAGATCAATAATGAGAACAATGTGTGGTTAGATGATATTTTGGAAAAAGGGACAGCTATTGTAACTTGTATTGACGACCTCGGTTGCAATTTGTACCCTCCCCAGAATCATCAGAATGTAATTGCATATGCAAGAGATTTCAACTTGTTGTCAAAAGAACTGATAAAACTTGCAAAACTGCATGCAACAGAAGAACATATGGTATGGTTTAACACGTGTGAAGAACAGTTTTCAAAGACATTGGATGCAATAATGGCAGAAGCTCAGCCAAGACAATAAACTTGAGATAAGATATTTTTGTCGATCCATGTTCATAGTGTATAATCATGTGCCACCCAAGTCTGTAATAATAGAATATTTTATCCCAAGATGTATAAATATATAAATAACAGTTCGATTTCTAACTATTCGACAACGGTAATTCCCTATGGCCTATATGTAAATGAGTTGCAGTCACTAGAGCCCAACTATTTTCTAAGCCATTCGTAATATCTATACTTCAGCTCACCCACAAAATCATCGAATCCCCTTTCCTCATCACACCTGATGAGTACAAATCCATTCTCCGACATTTTCTCTTCGAACAGTTCAACTTCCTTCGAATGCGTAGGTCTCAACGGTATCAACAGATAAAAAACACCGTTTCGTTTCAGATAACGATCAATCACCCTTGGCAACCATTGAGTATGTACAACCTCATAGACTATATCAGCACCCACAATAATGTCAAAAGTCTCGTCAATCGCTTTATCAGTACCTTCGGCGATCTCTTGCCAATCAAGTCGGTGAAGAAGAATCTCAGTCTGTAATGATTGCGCAAGCTGAATATTGTAAGCCGCATTAGAGAGAACTTGGGGATGATAGTCGGTCAATACCACCCTTGGGCAACCAAGTGTTGCGCAAGTAAGACCAACAAGGCCAGTCCCCGTACCGAGTTCCATGACCGGGCAAGAACGAAGGGAGGTTAAAGGTATCGAGGAACCGGATGCAATGAGCCTATGAGTGACAATAAATAAATGTATTAAGATTGCGCGGATAAAATTGTACAAAGCAATAAACGAGGCAGATGCTCGGTTATGATCTACTTTGCTAAGAGATAGGCAGATCCCCATGTTTTGAAGCCAACATTATCGTCAACAAAGGTCGAGTCGCGAATGCGTAGCGTTATCGACGGTGTCGAGTCTAACGGCGTCGTAAAGTGCCACTCCCTAATAATCGCGCCAGTAGCTAAAGAATTGATCGAGGGGCAACGAGTGAATTCTAACGTGCATAACGTCGTTTGCTTGTTTGATACATTTTATTCCTACCTACCAACTTTTCCGCAACAAGTTGCAAGACACTTTGCTGCCTTTTCTAAAACCTCTTCCCTTTCATTGTCTTCCATCCATTCTAATGAAGATGCAACAACTTTTGTCAACCATTCGATCGCCTCTTTCTTATCTGCTATAGTACCCTCTTTTTCTTCCACTTCTATAGCCGGTCCCGTGTCCCATAACACTGTTCTTTGTGTTTCGAGAAAACATTGCTCGAGCGTGTTTAAAATTTGACAGAGTTGGACGAATGATGGTTTATCTCTGCGGAGGACAGGAAAGAATAAATTATATGAAGAGGGAAAAGAAGTAGTAGGCGGTGGTGATGGAGGAGTGGAGGAAATTTGAGGAATTAAGGAGTCGTCCAGCATATCATTGAAAGTGAGAAGTTATTATAGTCACAGAAAGTATGTCGGGTCAACGACCCCACTACTAATTTTGGACAATCCAACGCAAATCATCAAAATCTCATAATAATAACAAGACCAGTCCATACCCTGCCAACACGTTCTTTGTTACATTTATACCAAACATTTGAAAATTCGCGTCAATTTAGTCATCATTCTTAAGCTCGTCTACCGTGCGTCCATGAAATCAGGCGTGCCCAGGAAGGATGACTTTTATTTATTGCACAAAAGAAATGTGAAAGAATGCAGTCTTTAAACATTATTGATTGGCTGTGAATTGAATAAATGCCGAGTGCTAATGCGATAGTTGTTAATCAGAGACCTTTGTTTAGTCATATTGTAAAATGACGCCTCGCAATAGTCACTGTTTATCTAACAAAGCACGCGGACTTTTAATCTTAATTAATATTAATATTAATTGATTCTTTGTGTGACAGGCATGTGACAAAAATTTATTTCTCGTTTTAAAAGCCCATAGATCGATGACCAGAAAGACTGAATCGTAGAGAATGGCCAACATATTGACACTTCCATCTGCGTGTGACTTCCACATTCATTTGCGTCAAGATGACCTGATGAAAATGATAGTTCCTCGTATATTGGAAGGCGGTGTATCTCTATGTTATGTCATGGTATTTTGTATCTATTATTGAAAAATTATATATATATTTTTTTTCGCGGGCCCACAATTTCCCATACTTATGAGATTATCGTATGTTAGCCAAACCTCAAACCACCAATAACGAAAACAGACCAAGCACTTGCGTACAAGGCCCAATTGGAACAACTTGCACCGAATGTGACCTTTTTAATGACTCTCTATCTCACCCCGGAATTAACACCAGAAGAAATACGTAAAGCAAAAGCCCATGGAATAGTTGGTTCGAATACTTAATTTCGAATTCTCTGAAGAGATGACGCTTTATATGAAAATGTGGTTAATTGAGATGTTTCGATATATCCCATGTAGGCGTGAAATCGTATCCGAGAGGAGTAACTACAAATTCTGATTCGGGTATCGAGTCCTATACTACGTATTATGACGTATTCAGAGCAATGGAGGAAGAGGGTTTGGTTTTGAACTTACACGGTGAAGTACCAAGTGACGCGGATAACGTTTGTATCGCCATACGGATTTCGAGACTGGTCAATCTTTTCGATTAATCAACAAATCGTCACGTGTTTTATTAGGATATATGCGTGTTGAACGCAGAGGAAAAATTCCTTGTGCATTTGAAGCAACTGCATCATGACTTTCCTCGACTAAAAATCGTCTTGGAACATGCTACAACAAAAGCAGCTGTGGACATGGCAAGTACGATAAGGATAGTCAACATGAAATCGAGACATCACGCGAAATAATTTAGACACTAAATGATAATTATGATGTGCTATCAGGTTAAATCTCTGGGCGACACAATAGGTTGTACGATAACGGTTCACCATCTTCAATTAACCGTAGACGATTGGGCAGGCAAACCACATAACTTCTGCAAGCCTGTCGCAAAGTTTCCCCACGATCGCCAAGCATTACGAGATGTTATTTTAGAAGGTCATCCTCGGTTCTTTCTTGGTACTGATTCGGCACCTCATCCGGACAACCTAAAAGAATGCGCGCAAGGAGCAGCTGGTGTATTCACTAGTCCATTGACAATGTCATATCTTGCTACAATTCTAGAGTCTTTCGGAGCCCTGGACAAATTGCATGGTTTTGCTTGTGTATATGGAAAGAGATTTTATGGTGTGAGTGAGAAACAAGGTGGCGGACGCGAGGTACGTCTATTGAAGGAAAGTCTAACTGTCCCAAAGAATTACGAGTATGGGGAAGATGGCAATGCGCAAAAAGGACGAGTTGTTCCCTTCCTGGCGGGGCAAGTCCTGAATTGGAAAGTTTGTCTATGAATACAAGTATTGTAACTAGTATATAGTAGAAACGTCTTTCCAAGACTTGTCTCATGTATTGGGTATGAACGCATTTATTCTAAAAAGTCTTTTATTTATTTTTAGTTGGTTTTGGTTAAAAACAAATCTTCCCTTTTGGTTACATACCTTTATACTTTTTCAAGAATCACGGCTATGCCTGCAAATTTAAAAAACATTAGCAATTTACTTCCAAGCTAGCTTACGTGATATCAAGACTATTTAATTACCTTGACCACCACCGATGCAAGCTGACCCAAGCGCATATTTGACGCCTGTTCGGTGCATTTCATATGTCAAATGAGCAAGAATACGCGATCCTGATGCTGCGAGAGGATGACCAAGAGAGATGGCTATGAAAATACAAATGAAGTGAATGATTATGCTGGGATGCAGGTTTCAGGGACGTATATTTGACAAAAAATATAAGGCCCAATACTCACCACCTGTAATAATGTAAAAGAGCTATTTATTAGTAATGTTATTCTCGCTACAAACAGCAAAACAGAATAGTTAATAACTCACCGCCGTTCGTGTTTGCAATGCTCCGATCGAGTCCCAGTTCTTTTTCTACAGCCAGGTACTGTGCAGCAAAGGCTTCATTAACCTCTATTAAGCCAATATCCTCCAACTTCATATTAGCTCTGTGCAAAACACCCCTGATTGCTGGTACGGGCCCGATACCCATAATCGTTGGCTCGACTCCTACTGCAAGGTAATTCACGATTCTAGCCAAAGGCGTTAACTTGTGCTGGTTCACAGCCTCTTCACTTGCCACTACAATTGCTCCAGCACCATCACTGATCCCAGATGCGTTGCCAGCAGTAACAAGGCCGGTGTCTTTTACAAACACAGGAGGTAGTTTTTTAAGTGACTCAATGGTAGTTTGGGGACGTGGATGTTCATCAGTCGTAAACTCAATGGTTCCCTTTCTGGTCTTTACTTCCACTGGAGCAATCTCTTTGTCAAAGTGACCGGCTTCCTTGGCTGCAGGCAATTAAAGCAAGAAATTTATAGCTGTAAGATACACGTTTGCGTCTAATAAACTCTGTTGTAAATATCCACAAATCAAATGTACATACCGGCTGCCCACCTCTTCTGACTGCTCAAAGCAAACTCATCACACTGTTCCCTGGTGACATGATACTTGTTGCCCAAATTTTCGGCAGTGATGCCCATTGGCGTCTTTGTCGGATACTGATCGATCAATGCTGTTGCCAAAAAGTCTTCCAATTTCAGATCCATCCCGTATCTTGTTCCCCAACGAACATTATGAAGTGTATAAGGAGCCTTGCTCATACTTTCAGTACCACCAGTTAACACAATCTGTGCATCTCCAACACGAATCTCCTGGATAGCGTTTACGACAGCCTGAAATCCTGAACCACATAAACGGTTTATGGACAATGCAGGCACGTGGATGGGCAAACCAGCACGGTGACCAATATGTCGGGCAATATAAGGTGCTGTATTGTCTGTTTGGGTGACATTGCCAAAGATAACCGAGTCTATGGGTAGGTTGCTTGGGAGTGTAGCAAGCGCTGCTTTTGCAGCAAAGCCTCCAAGTTCAGTTGCTGATGGTTTGGTATGATTAAGTTAGTCTAACAAGGTTTTCGTTTTTGAAATAATGATACAAGTATTTTCCGGATATTTATACCAGTATAATCTTTTAATGTTCCTCCGAACGTGCCAAACGGCGTGCCTGAAAATGATTAATGTTAATATATACGTTCAAAGAATGCATAATTAGATTAATGAAAGTACTCACGTTTGGCAGCAACGATGAATACATTCTGAACTGCAGCTTTGGCCATCTTTAATGCAAAAAAGAAAAGGATCAGGAGCAGACTTAACCATTTTCAAGTTATCAGGCTGTGTCTATTCTCATTGGACAGAAACATCTGATGACAAATCTTAATCTGACGCTTTTTTGCGTGGACTTCTTTTGCGAGAAAAAATTTTTTATCCGACATGTACATTTTTCATTCGTCAGGTTATATTAATATTTACCCTGAAAAAGAAAATATTCTACCGTGTAACATGCCGTGTAATTCTCCGATGCGGATGTTACAATTACCCGCGATTCACACCACCGTTGTTTTTACGGCTTGGATAAATCTTGGCGTCCATACTCCGGCTGAAAGGCAAAGCAAGTTGTGGAACGTAAATTGGGATAATCAATTGTCTCATATTTTTAGTCAGTTATAATTTCACGTAGAATTTCGTCGAACGTCTACAATATAACAGGCATGCATTGTATTCGTAAATCTCAAATCACGGTAACTGTTAGTTCTAGTTGTATAAACTAATGATACGGTTCGCTGATGACGAGATAATAATAATAAATCTAAACGAATAAGTATTATCAACTACATAGTCAAACTCGATATAATAAAATCGACGGGCTGGGGGTAATGGTTTAAACTGTAGAGGTTTTATTTTATCGAGGATTATATGTATAATCTTAAAAATTCGGGGTGGGAAAATTCTTTATCTTGGAGTGATTTTATCTTAAAGTGACTTTATTTTTATCGTGTTTGATTATGTACAAAAATGCAACTCAATATTCCCGATAAATTTTCCTTAAACAATTAGTATATAATTTCTGTGTAGCAGCTATTTTCTTACGAAGAGCTGTAAAACATATTTTAGTCTCAACAATGAAATTATAAAACTGAAGCAGGATGTAAAAACGAAACAATTGCGTCTAAACTAACATGCGCTAACCTAAGTAGCTCTCCATTAATTAGAACAAAGAATCCGGAAAACGTCATAGTTACAGAAGAAAATCGCGAAAATATTATAAGATTTTTATCAGGAAAATCTTTTCCCTAGACCGGTTAATTGTCAACACGTTAAAACAAAATTCGAGTACCAAAAATAGCTCGGGCTTGTTCTCCGTCCCCCGACGGTTCTTTGACAAAAAGAATAATCACTGTACCGATATAAGCTCATTTTATTTCGCTATTATCACATAAACAATATTGAATAGATGATTGTGATATTACACGTAGATATGCGGTTATTTACGGGCCAGAATGTTGATATTATGTCACGAAAAGTTTGTAAATTAACAAAAATTGCTGGGATTGAATTATAATTATATTATGAAACTCGTATTTGATTGGACATTGTAACGCGACGATACAACGATACAACGAACAAATACCGTACCAATTATCCGCAAATAAAGAATTTCCTGTCATTTTGTAATTCGACACGAGTCACCAAGACACGCCTCATCTCAGCGAGTATTGCATGTGGACTAAGAGCATTGTTTGGTATTTGTTGCAGTACAGAAATAATGTTAATATGAATATGCTGACAAAACTTTTTCCAAGTAAGCAACTGAGAATATTTTAAATTTTGCAGAAACATAATATCAGTCAAGGTACGAACGAAAAATCCGCTGTAGACAGACATTTGGAATGCTGAGTATATGATTTTAAAAAGGCTTTTTATTATGTTAAAAATGATGTATTTGATTGTAGATATTATTCTTTCAAATAATATAGTTTTCTTATGTTCTGGTAAAAAAATGAAGTCAATTGCCAGTAACCAGTAATTATTAACAATCTAATACTAATAATATTTATGATTAAGAGCTTGTACTTGGAACTATTATCAACGAAGATAAACGGTTATTCAACAGACTACATTTCTTCAATGTCTTCTTCGGGGAAATCGCCCACTTTGATCTTGTCGGGACGCACAAATACACCGTGCTTTGGCCTGCATTGGAAGTAACGTTCACCTTGAACCCTAGAAAATGAGCAAATCAGAAAGTCAGTATTGTGCTGGAGTGCTTCTGAACATGAAATTGACAATCAAATAAAGACGGTTCTAATTTCAAACCACACCATATCTCTTTCTTATTACAATACGTACATTCCGTCATGTTTCCCGACAGGCTCATCGAACTCAATGCCAACCCAGTACCCGGGTCTGAATCTAGTCAGTCCTACATATCTTACAGTCCCTATTCTCTTAAATCCATCTTCTATACCCTCAGAGAGGTCCAGTTGGCACCTATCACCGACTTTGATGTTCTTGGATTCTTCTTCAAATAAATTATCAGAATTTGACGACGTTGCTGATTGAGAATCGGAAAACCGACCAAATTTGTTGCGCTGCTTAAAAGCAAGAACGGAATCTGTGCGCTTGGCGTATTCTTCGTCAGGGAGTTCGTATTTCTCTACTTGAGAGAGATCAGTGAATTGACCTTTTGGCGCGCGTGGATCTGAATCCGTCACCTACGTTTGTTTTTTTTTTTTTGGATGAAGCGAAGTAGGTAGAGTTTGTATGATGGAAGGTGTTGGTGAATGATTTACGCTGGCTGTTAATATTAATTATGTGAACACTCGGTAAGTACGAGAAATAATTCTGTTTGCAATACGCCTTAATTCATCGTTAAAATCAAGGCGTATGACACAGGTATGATATCTATTCTTACTTCTCACCTTCAATGTCATGTAATTGTCGACAGGAAATGCTCCCAGCATGAAATCATCTCCTTCAACGGATGTAACGAGTGTATCGCCATTATAAAGTTTTAATATCTGATTTGCAGCCGGAATACCAGTGACAGGCTCTAGTTTGGCTTTCAAATCTCCTATGGTGAGCCCTTTGTCGAACCTTCTTTCTGAAGAACTACTCTCACTTTGAACAAAGATAGTTACTACGGACATTGCTTTGATGGTCGGAATAGAGAGAAATGTTTTTGCTGATCTGAACACAAAGTGGATGATCCCCCTAGACAAAAAGCCTTGTGTAATCGATTTAATGTTAATCCTAATAACGATAATAATGCTCTGTTTATGAGTTTGGTGCTTTCGACTCATTTAAACTAAGAATTACATCACTCAGTCATAAATTCGCTTTGGTTTAAAAAATTTTTTAGCTGTCTCATGCGCTTGTTATAGAAATTTCCTCCTCTGTAGTAGTAGGTACGTTTTGAACAAGTCAATTGGCATGTCTCAATCAGTAGTCTATTATCCGACATCATAAATGTATTTTATTTTGTCAATGATTTATTGCGGCGATAAGAAAGAACTCTTCTAGCTGTATGATTTCAAGATAGATGATAACGCAACAAACAATGTTTGTAACTGCACGGCCACTGATTTTCTTTTGTTTCAAGATTGAATAAAGATTATTAGAATGAACATGTCAAATGAGCGTTCTTGTCTTTATGACTCTTGTATTATCTTTGTGATAGTCTCCCATCCAAACGAATTTGCAAATATAAATTTGGTCATTCTGCTTCTGCGTCTTCCTCCAACGACGGCTCGAAGCAAACAAATATTAAGACGGTTGCTGAACTTGTAAGTGTTATTTGAATGATGAATCGGGAACGGTGATAAATATTTATTGTTGGCCTGGATCCATACCATGCTGCTTATTATTCGTGATGGTACTCTCGATGTTTAATCAACAATCTTTATTAACATATTATTATTATAGGCGCCATATCTGGGCAGAACTTCTTGAGTGCGAGGGTAACCTGCAGTCCAATTAAATTAGGATATGGGATAAATTACGTTGGCATATTTCGAAATTAATGAGGTATCCAAGTAGTACCCGGTGAAACTTACAAAAAATAGATTCATTACATTCAGCGAATTTTCCGCTTGTGAGTATATAGGCTTCGTTTTCTGCAGAAATTGACGTAAGAAAGATAAAAAGCTAACAAGCCGCCACAGACTTATTTAATTAAACAGCACCATCTAAATCTCAACATGTTGCATTACACAACAGTTCTAAGAGCACATTGCGTGCCTCCTTGATATCGATAATATCCTTCTCGAGTATAGTGGGTTTATTTGACATCTTAATCGTTTCATTGAGAAATCCACGTTTTAGAGGGTAGTGAAAGCCAGCGTCGTCTATTGACGCGCCAATTTAAATGATAGTGAGTTTGAAACGTAAATTCTTCATCAATGCCGCAATCTATAGGACGTTATCCTCACTGTGTCTATCAACACTATTGCTGAGTAGCTATTCTAATATATGCAAATGGTCAATAGATACTGATTTATGTCACTAAGATATTTACACGAGTGCCAACCAATAAATAATCAAATTAAACTGACTTTTGGGGTCTCTGTCCGCCGTCAAAGCTTCAGAACCCACATATACTTTTCTATTATCAAAATTACCCTAACCTGTAGCCCAAATTCAAAAGAAAAATAAAAGTCTAAAAATTACTTTTAGAATTTTCATATTACCGCTGACGCTGCCTATACCGAACTGACCTGCTGGAAAATTTTAGTTCGTTATAACCAGAGTTCGTTATAACCAGAGCTTGCGTTATAAGTTTATTGATTGGGGAAAATCGGGCTCTGGTTCGGTATATCCAGGTTAAACTAGAAAAGAGTCGGTTCAACCCCGATTTTGTTCTAATTGTCAAAATTATTGTTATAATCGTAAATCGATGCTTAAATATAATTCGCCATATAACAACATAAACACATGCTTTTTGCATCCTATTCAGTGTTACATGATTGTAAAAGTACATGTTTTATTGGATCTTTCCACCTGGACCTATTGTAATTGCAGGAATTCTGGTTAATAAGCTTGACTTATGATATGCACAATATTAATATTAAACATTAAAGTCTTGGAAACTTTGTAAGGCAACAGAAGCGACAGAATACAATTGAGCAGGAAGTTAAAGTGTGAGGGCACATCAGGGATTCTAAAAGACTTCAGTCATTGACACCTTATCAAAAAGTAAGTATCTCAAAGAATGTTATAGATTTTCTAATTGAAAAGCATTCTTCCGATTCGATCTTACATTCTTTGACAAAAATAAAAACGAGTTACCCAAATTCGATACTCATTTGGGGCAGACTGCAACAAAACCAAACAAAGTGAACATTCTATTATGTGACATAAATGAGAGGCTGATTATGATATGGCTGTAAAATTGATCAGTGTGACTGATGACGTTTTGAAAAGAATAATATAAATAGTGCTCATTTATAATATGAACTTGTTAATTTTAATGCTCCCTTTATTATACCAGAATGTGAGGAATATAAACTAAAACCAGAACAGGAGCAATATAGGACTACCTCTATATATAAAAATATTAATATGAAACTAATTTACATTAAATCCACCATGGAACCAAAGAATTACAGCACTATTAGAAGTATTTTAAAAAAATTTACTTCTTTAGTTTCAATCAAGGCCATCTCTTATTTTCTTTAACTTCAATTTGAGCAACATGTTGAGTCTGTTGTTTTCTTAAGAATTCAACCTCACTTTC